TCCAGCCTGTCCTCCTCGCTCCATTCCAAACACCTCCTTCTCCCAGCCACGGCCCCCCAAGAACTGCACCCCGAGCCCCTGCTCAGGAGTCCTGGCCCGCAGCTCCCAGCTAGTCAGGGCCCAGCTCACTGTCCCTTCGTGTCCCTCAGCCTCCCCTTCATCTGGGGCTCTGTGCTCCTGCTGAGCTTGCTGGTGGTGGCGGTGGCGCTGCTCGCTGTGGTGGCCAGAAGGAAAGGTAGGTGGTGGTCCATTCTTCTATCCCAGCATGGCCCCCTTGGGCCTGTCAGCCGGTCTGTAGACCAGCCCGGGAATCTAGACCATCCCCTACAGAGGCATTGGCAAGGCTGCCCAGACTCTGGAGTTCCCATGGCCGAGGGGTGGAGGGGAGGAAGGAGTTCAGTGGGAGCAGGCCTGGGGGAAGACAGGAACTGGAAAGGGTGGGGGAGTGGGACTGGAGAGGTGGGGAAAGGGCTGTGGAGTTAGGGTGGGTGTCCAGGCAGGTTTGGCCGGGAGCTGTGGAGGCAGCAGGTGGGTGGGGAGTCAGGACAGGCTGGGCTGGGGGAACTGTGGGTCCGAGGGGGAAAGGTTCAGGGGTGGGAGCAGGGACGGTGAGCCTGAGGTTTCTGCGGGGATGAGGGTTGGGCTTTGAGCCGGCACAGGAGGCAGACTGTGCTGCTGTCCTCTGTGTTACCAGGGAACAGGCGCGGCGTCCCTGGCCAATCCCACAGCAGCCGAGGTCCAGGCATGGTAAGAGGGAGGCCTCTGCCGCTCCCAGCCAATTTGCCCAGGCTCTCCGCCAGCCACGCTCCCTGAGAGGTGCCAGGTTGATGGGGTGGAGGGAGGACTGGGACCCAGTTGGGGTTCAAACCATTTTCCAAATGGTCCTTTGAAAATCCTTTGTCCTGCCAAGGAATAATATTGATGCATGGTCCCACCTTCCCAGACTTGGGGAAAAAATTAGGAGTAGGAAATCTTCAAGGAGTCCTCTTGCCCGCGGACATATTCAGGATTCCAGAGGAGAGGCAGCGTGGTCCTGGGCTTTGGCCCAGGGGGCTGGGGCCGAGGAAGGCGTGCTCTGCCTGATTTGCCTGCTTTCTCACAGGCGCTCTCCTCAGTGATCCACACCAATGACTCTGGACTGGCTGCAGATGTGCCGTCGGACGTACCATACGTCAGGCTCGACTCGCCACCTTCCTTTGACAGCACCACCTATAGCAACCTATCTCTTGAGCCCCCGTCAAGGAAACCCCCAGCCCCAGCCCCAGCCCCATCCTCATCGCACCCTCTGCCTCCTAAGGTCCTGAGCTGCTCCAAGCCTGTGACGTATGCCACGGTCATCTTCCCTGGAGGGGACAGGGCGGGAGGGCCCTCCAGGGAGCCAGCGCAGGATCCTCCCCAGGGCCAGGCTCCGCCCAGCTGAGCTGCTCATCACAATGTGCTCACAGAGACCACCAGGGTTCTTTCTGTGCGCCCACCAGCCAGCCTGTGCCCTGCATCCTCAGTGTGTCAGAGCAACTAGGGACTTTAGGGTCCAATCTAATGTCTAGACTTCTGACCTGGAGCGTGATGACTGGTGTGACCCGGGTGTCTTAGGGGAGCCTCCCACACTGGCACCTCTGCCATTACACCACTGGGCTAAATAAACTAAATGATGATCTATGCGCTCTTGGTGGTTGAGGGGAAAGGAAGGGCCTGAGTTTGATTATTTACTTGGCCTGTGAACTGAAAAGACTCCAGTTGGTGCTGCGTGATCTCCTGCCTGTCCTGCCAGGGGGCGGGGCTTCATTCCCTGGTCTGGACATGGCAACACAGTTGAATTCAAGGGGCACAAAGAAGGCTTTTCAAAAGTATGTCCCACCTTCCTCATCGTACCTGAAAGTATAGATTCATTTCCTTGCAGCTAGAAATCTTTTCTGTTCCTGCTGTACACCTTGCAAAACAAATGACATCTTCTGTGTGACAATATATGAGAGCAGGGGGGTAATGATCCAAGGAGACTCAGGGTGTGAGAGAGGGGGGAA